TTTTTTCTCTTTCCTTTCCGTATCTTTTACCTAATGAGTTCTGGAACAATGGTGCTTGTCATACGGATTACGTCTGGCGTTTCACCTTTGCGCGCAAGAATTCTTCCTAAATGGATAAAAAAAACTTCCATTTTCCGGATTTCTTTTTTGTCGTATGGCAGCGCTTAGAAGCTTCTTGTTCTGTCGCGTCAGGTGCTCGTTAACATATATGACACTTCCTTTGGCCTCGTAACTGAGGTGACTCGAAATCATTCTCTGTTCCTACACTTTTGCGAGCAGGGCATTGCCTTTGTTGCGTGAAATGAATCGAACAGTTTTCTGTTCATTTCTTTTTTACCGGCAGCACCTGGTACGAGATATCGATGTCATTGTCAGATAATGGCTTGCCCACGAGTTCGCCTATCTTTCCCACGATGACAGCTGAATTAAGTTGCTTCGGCGCACCGTTCATCCGAAGATTGTTGCTTATCTGATACCAATCAAGTTCTTGAATTTTCTTTTCAAGCAGATGGTTCTCGGCCTTTAGTTTGTCATTTTGAAAAACCAGTGCATTTTTAATTCTACTCTTAGCACTTTGACATCAGTTCCTACTACATTTAGTTCAGGCCATGAATCACAGCGGAATTTCACGCCTTCTGTTAATGACCTTATCTGGTGACGTACCTCTCATTCAAACATTGATTTATTGATATGTGGAGTCTAACATCCCGAAACCACCAAATGGTTATGAGAGACGCCATAGTAGATGGCCCCGGAAATTTCGACTACCTGGGGTTATTTAACGTGCACCCAAATCTGAGCACACAGGCGCACAGCATTTTCGCCTCTATCGAAAATGCAGCCGCCGCCGGGATTCGATCCCGCGACCTGCGGATCAGCAGCCGAGCACCTTGCCCACTAGACCACCAGAGCGGGGCTCTCGTTGATACATCAGAAATTAAAGTACCAATTGCTTTCTTGTGACCCTTACTAGAAACGGGAACTTCTGCACACAAATTTCAAAATGAAAATTGTTCGTTCGGCAGCAGTGTAAGAAAGCAATGAAAGTAGCACAATGACAGTTTTTGCTTAACTGTAAAAAACTGCGAATGTATTTCATGCACATGGCCGCTTTCTGCACTGCTTCTGGACTGTCCTGAAGAAGAGAATTTCAGTGCTTATAAAGCCAGCTGACAATCAGCTGACAGCCGTCTGCGCTGACTCCCTGATATTCTGTTCCAGCTAACAGGCGAGGTGCGTCAAGATGCCGCTTGGTGTTCTGCAGGCCATGCGCATTTCACCTCGGATCAAACAATACCAACACTCCCATTCGCTTTCCCTGGCATAGAGATGCACCGCGAGTCTCGCCGCATGGTAGTCATTGCACATCGAGTCCAGTCTCGTACTTGGTACACTTGTTTTAAACTAAGACAACTAAAAACAAAAAATATTAGTTTTGTATCTGGTATTATTAGCCGCCCTGATCGTGCAGTGATTATGGTGGCCCCGCCGCTGTGGTCTAGTGGCTAAGGTACTCAGTTGCTGACCTGCAGGTCGCGGGCTCGAATCCCGGCTGCGGCGTCTGCATTTCCGGTGGAGGCGGAAATGTTGTAGGCCTGTGTGCTCAGGTTTGGGTGCACATTAAAGAACCCCAGGTGGTCGAAATTTCCGGAGCCCTCCACTACGGCGTCTCTCATTATCATATGGTGGTTTTGGGACGTTTAACCCCACATATCAATCAATCAATCAATCAGTGATTATGGTGTTCTGCTGATGACGAGAATGGCAAGGGTGCGATCGCGGCGAAGGCATTTCGATAAAAGCGGAGTGCTCAAGGGTCATGTGCTTAGATTTCCTAATCATCATCAGCAGCAGCAGCCTGACAGCGCCCACTGCCGGGAAAACGCCTCTCGCGTGATCCGCCCATCAACCCGGTCTTGTGCTTTCTGTCGCCACGTCATACCGGCGAACTTTTTTATTTCACCAGCCCACCTAACTTTTTGTCTTTCCTTCGTGTGTTTTCCTTCTCTGAATCCAGTCAGTTACCCTTAATAATCAGTGGTTTTCCTGCCTACCTTAATGATCAGCGGTTTTCGTGCACTACCTCCCCGGCCCATGTCTATTTCTCCTTCTTGATTTCAACTATGATATTCTTGATCCCGGTTTGTTCCCTGACCCAATCTGTTCTCTTTTGTATTTTAAGGTTACACCTATTATTTACCTTTCCATCGCTCGCTGCGCTGTCCTCAATTTAAACTAGACTTTATTTGTAAGATTCCAGGTTTCTGCTCCGTAAGTAAGTACCGGCAAGATGCAGCTGTTATATACCTACCTCTTAAGGGCTAATGGTAAATTACCCTTCACGCTTAAGTTTGAAAACGCTTGCTGAATGTGATCCACGCCATCTTTATTATTCTATAGTTATTCCACGCTCATGGTTTGTTTCCGATCTTACTGCTAGTCTTAAGCTGGCATATTCTTTTACAAATTCCAGCGTCTTTCCACCTATCTCAAAGCGTTCTTTTCTGCAAGGTTTACTGCACATTACTTTAGTTTTATGCATATTAATTTTCAGACCTATTCCTCTGCTTTTTGCGTCAAGTTCAATAATCATAAGCTGTAATTCCCCTTTTGAGTTACTCATCGAAGCAATGTTATCAGTGAATCACAAGTCGCCGGTTGCAGCGAATCACACAGCCCAATCTAGGGTCTTTAAAAACTCCTGTAAACACGCGGTGAATAACATTAGAAAGATCGTGTCTCCCTGCCTTACACCCTTCTTTATGGGGATTCTGTTCTTTTTTTTTATGGAGTACTATGGTGGCTTAGGATCCGCAGTAGATTTCTTCCAGTATGTTTGCATAGAGATCGTCTATTATATTTAGGTACGCGCAAAATAAACTCAGGTGTACCAAATTACCAACGTCCTGCACAGCAACGTGTCTCTTAATCACATGGATGTTATGCCTCATAAAACCCCAAATATTATTATTTGGTGAAATATCAACCAGGTTTTTATTTTTTTTATGCATTAGTGTTGCCAAACTGCACTCTACGAATCTTAACCACGGCAATGTTTGTCAAATTAATGTGAGTGCACAGCCCTTGTCCTAAATAAAGGCAGGGTGGAATCTGTGTGGGCTGATGATTTGGCATATCTTGGAATTAGGGCTGCGCAACGTTGATTGTCTAAATACAGTTTGCGTAGTGTTCGCTCTTAGCATGGGGCATTCACTTCCTTGTGACCATATAGAAGGCGCGTCTCTCGTGAGACGCGCCTTCAACTACTTTGTCTACCTACTTTCAACTACTTTGTCTCCAGCGTTCTCTCTTGATTAGCGATATAGCCGCATTTCGCAGCGAGAAAGCAGTGGATAGGAGATACTTAGTTTGTGTCGAAAGGTTCTTTCGGAGATCCGGCACAGTTTGGTAAAGCACAAAACGATATGCGCTACATTAAGGGGTAGAAATTGAAGTAGCCGCTGTTCTGGTGGGCATAAAGAAAAAAATGGTCTTAGCCGCATAATGCATAGGAGAAATAGTTGATGGGGAGTTAGAGCGGTATAAAAGATATGAAGAGATTGGAAACGCAGCAATGTGTGGGTCGGTGTGAGGTTGGATGAAGATAGACAATTTACAGGCATAACAAAGCAAACTGCACAGAGATTTTAAGGACAGGCCTTCTTGTAAACGCCCCATTCAATCGAAATCTTACAAAGCTCCGTTTAAAGAAAATAAAGCGCCCAACAGCCAGAGGTTTGTACACCGACGGTTCGGTATTCACTAACACGTTTCAGCGCCACAAGGTTCCGCCAATGGTCATTCCAAGCAATTACCTTATCGGACACACGAGTATTGAAGGCGGACGGCAAGCGGCTAACACTTTCAAAAAGTGCTGCGAAGCCAACTGCGTGTTTTGACAGCAACTATTGAACTGTTTGATGGAAGCTATAGAATGCTGACAGAGAATAATGTGACGAGGCACATACCTGTAGAATGTGTTTATGTCAGATCTCTTTAGATCCATCATACTTTGACAAAACAAAACAATTCCGCTCTGATGTGTGAATTTCACTATATACAGAAGAAATGGCAGCAACATCTCGTAAGCCAGCGTGGGCATTCGTAAAAATTCGATTAGATTATGCGTATTATAGAAATTTTTGACAATGCCAATAAAAAATAAGAAGATTTTCTTATTAAGGAAAATGGCCAGTTACTTAACAGAATTCACTGTCTCCGGCTTTGTTTGCTTCTTTTTTCTCTCTCCTGAAGAGCACTGTATACTTTGCCAAGAAAACAACATCCGTTGTTCAGCAGCGCGAGCCACAAACTAGCCGAGTAGCTGCACAGAGCGTGAGTACGGGTTTTAATAACTCTATTACAAACTTTCTACCAGCTCGTTCGGCCACCCTCTCCTAATCCGCATGAACGAGCCCACGCACGCTTGCACGCAGCTGTTGGAGTTCCCTCGGTCTAAAAGCGTGTGTACATCAGCGACCCGCGGTCGCCTTCAGCGCGGGACCCACACATCCCCGATAAGCCGCGCATGCGCAGTCGCGCGCTTGCGAATGTCGCAGGTGCAGCGACACACGCCTGCGATCGCGTCGAGCGCAGGTGCGCGCAGATGTCGCGCCCGCACACACTCTCGTATAATTGCGTGCAGCAGTCCCGAATGTCAAGTTACTGGCCAGCATGTGGAGTGCGAAAGGGTGTTTCAAATGTAACACTCCACCATCGGCGATCTTTTTTCGTTTCATTATCGCTGTATGATCCGACTTAAGACTATCCAAGCCGTAACCTAGCCAACACTTTCAATATGCGGCATCTGGCAACCAAAAGCACTTCTTGAAGCACCCGGTGACTATGCTATCTTTTTGCGCGAAAGGAGAATAGTTGTACCGAGGCCGGCGCACTGTGGCAGCACAAGTGTGTGGTGGTTTGCGCATGCGCTGTCGGTGAAGCCCACGTGGATTAAAGCAGCTGGTTTCAGAAGCAGAAAACCCGACCCCAGGTGGCAAACATTGTAAGCTAGCTCCGGCGTTGATGCGGGCCGCCCGTTTAGGCTCTATGCGTCGACGGGTGTTCGTTGAATGGTCGTGTGAAGCAAAGTCGTTAGCAGAGCTGCAAGTGAACAATACGTGTGCAAAGTAGACGTTGTGATAAGTAGAAGAAATTTTGAAACCAACGCGTGGGTCACCGTGAGCCGAGTGTGCCGCTCTTGAATTGAAAATCTGATTCGGCACGAAGGACTGTCACGATAGTATGGCCGAAACTATACTTGATACATCTACACTTAAGAAGACCGTGGATGAAAGCGTGAAGTTTGGACAACGGATTTTGGGTTGAAAGTGCCAGCAGACGAGCGACAGTGAAATTAACTGCCTCATTAGTGCGCGATACTGACCTTCATTTATTGTGCTTGGATGAGCAAGAAACCACCACAACTGTCTCGTCTTTTATTGTTGATCAAGTGCGGCTTTTTATGATGATTTCTACTTGTGATTTCAGCAGAAACGCTAGAAGTGCACAAGCATAAGAAAAAGCTATTTACTCTGTGTTGTCTCGACTTACTGGAAACATGTAAGTTTTGCATCATGTGCAAAGGAGCGTGTGTGTCACCTTGCATGACAGTGTAATTGCGTATGTGTGTGAGTGAGGACTTTTAAATTCAACCTTGTACCTCAACAATGTCTGAATTAAGTCGCCTTTTTTTTAATTATATGTCCTCGTAGTTTCCACTAAAAATTTCCAAATGTGTCTGTATTTGAAGGGAAGCGGCACGATGTTTTCACATCCATGGCCGATCATAAACTGACTTTTCTGGGTGCTCCATAAATTTGTGTCCATACTACCAAATACAATTATACGCTCAGGACATTTTACAAGTTCAGCCCCTACAAGTCAAACGTTCAACTGCATTTTCTTTAACAAGCCTGCTTTATTATAGCACAAAAACCCTTCATAAGTGCTATTTACGAAGTTCGTAGCGTTTTAAAATGGCCAGAAGCCGTGTAAGTTTTCTCTTTTGTGTTCGCACTCACAAATCTAAGCATCCGGGTCCGACTGTTCACATCACGATGTTGAAATGTATGCATATATAGAGTGTTTGCCCCAGAGTTCAACAGCTGGGTGCCCTGATTTATGTTTACATTTTCCCGCCAGCTGCATCTGCATGTCCACAGCGCGTCGTGTGCATCATGGCGCCAAACCGTAGCAGCTTGTTTTAGACTAGAGTCTAAACGAAGCTCGCAATAAACGAACAAGCCGCGGTAATTGCGGGTTCGTGATCTAACGCTGCTTATTTACGATAACGTCTCCTTCTCGTTGTCGTCCCTTATCGACAGCTCGCCCCTGAGCGCAGACGACCGGAGCCGGCGGTGGCAGACGCAGGACGGTCACCGCGCCAGTTCCGGAAGGCGTTGTTCTCAACTTCCGGCGAGGCGCGCGCATCCGGAGGCCGACTGCTGCGAGCGGCATCTGCACCGGCGGCTGCAGAACCGACAGCCGAGAGCAGGTCTGGAGCTTTTTTTTTTGCCACGTCGTCTGGAAGGGTTCGCCCGCTTGGAGCACCGCAACAACCCATAGGTCAGTGCTTAGTTTTCGGCAATCTCAAAGCAGGACTTTTTTGGAGAGCCTTCTCTTCAAAGAAACTCTTCTAGCGGCCCAACGAAACTGGTAATCCGATGGATTGTTTCTCCCGAGCGATCCGTATTTGAGTAAGCCTCGTGAAGGCTGTTCGCGCGGACTTTATGCATCGCCAACTGCGCCGTCATTACTCGTGAGTGATTCGAAGCATGTAAAATTACGAAACGTTGACGGCCAAATAAATTTCATGTGTCCTTGTTTGGGTTTACGCAGCGAAAACCTGCCTCGCTCTTGAGCCGATGACCTGTCAGCCATGTTGAGCACGACCACGTGATCCACCGGCTTGCTCGCAGATTAACGAACGATTGCCACACCGCGACGGCTGTGCCACACGAAAACGAGGGCATCAGCTTCAATACTTTCTAAGAATCAAGTTCTACATGAAAGTATTGTTGCGAACAACAATAATAATCAAAACGCTGCTTCTAGAATAAGAATGGCGGCCAGAAGCATACCTATTGTACTGAATTAAAATTTGTCGATAAATCATGCTGTATGCAACAGCTGCAACCTATATTATTTTCTTTATTGCAACAAAAACTACCTTTATGCACTTGATTTGCTATTTGAAAAGTCAGACCACGTACTGACCCTTGTTTTCCGTACTTCCAGTGATAACCGGAGTGGTATTTGTAGCAATGGATTATCTTTGCAAATTAAATAAACAGGAGAACGGGTGGTAGCTTTGAAAACCTTAATTGACTCATCGGATAGTGTGCTCGAATCTTCTTCCCGGAGGCAGTTCCTGCACGTCAAATATTTTGAAAGCTTTGGGTCATTAGATATGGGCACATTGATGCCGCATAAAAAGATGACCATCTGGGAAACGTCAAATTTGTTTGTGAATGGAGTCGGGTTTTCTCATTTATTGAAAATGAAGCCGACTTGTGCATGCGAATATTTAAGCAATGGTGCTATAAATCAAACACTGGATGAGAGCTGACGTCTGTTTTTTAAAGTGAACCCAAACGAAAACATACAGAAAGCTACTAGTAATATTTTCGACTTTTCTTATGCATAGATTGTGAAATACAAGAGATCTATTGCACATCAGCTTTCATGCCTCAGAGTGTAAAATAAACGTTCTCAATTAGCACTGGAGGTACAATACTAATGAGACAGCGGCGCTGACGGACACCCATTTAGTCTTCGCTCTGGATGTTGCGCTAAAATTGGCAAACGTTCTTTTTCTGTCTTTCTATGTTTTTTTTCTTGTTGTGTCTCCTATCTGTCTTTGCGTATGTCATTTTTGTCTATGTTTGTTTGTATTTTCTTGTGTCTTCGTCTCTCATAACATTTGTTTTTCTCATAGCCTTCTTTATATCTTCACTCTCTCTCACTTCGTGTTTATCACTTCCTGTGTCTGTTTATCTTCTTTTTCTTTTTACCTTTGCCGCTCTTTCTCTGCTTTTTTTCATTTCTCTCTCCCCCCTCTCTCTCTGTTTATTTGCATATCATTCTATTTCTATTTTTCTTTCTATACAATGCTTTGCCACCTTTTCCTTTTCCCTTCTTTCAATCCTCACAAACTGCGCTTTTAAGCTCACTTTTATTTTCCGCCCCCTCATTGTATACTCGGCTCTGGATGCATGCCTGGATAGCCGGGTTGGTAAGGCACCCGCCTAGGGATCTTGGATGTGCAGGTTCGAGTCTCACCTCGCCAAGACATTTCTTCCCCTAGAATCTCTCTTTCAGGAGCTTGCTCGCCAAGCTTCTTGTTCTCGCAGCACGTCCCTTGGCGTGTAGCCTGGAGGCGCCGCTGTGCAATGGGCCCACTAGATGCCCACCGTAACTTTCGTAAAACAGGGAAGCACCCAAAATGCCACTATGCCACTCGTCAATCTGCCGATAAGCGATGTATCCACTACACATCGGTCGTATGTGAACTTTGTTCTGTGAAGAAGGCGCGCCGAAAGGCGGACCCCGAAGTGGGAGCCCGCGAAGCGGGGGCGGCGGCGGCAAGGTAACCTGGAATCAAAACCTGTATTTAAAGGGCCGTCTCGAACATTCAACTGCAACATCTAATTCAAGATCTCCCTGCCGCACAGTCCACCGACCACGAAATTGTAATCTTCAAAGTAAAGCGCCTCCCACCGCGTTGCAATCAGTATTATTTGTTTATAAATGCATCGAAATGTAAAGAAGATGACATTGAGAGCGCGCGTACCGGATCATGGCGCTGATAGCCTTCCGTTCACCGCAGACAGATTATGGCAAGCTTTAGACAGCTCCGTGGTTAAAACCAGGCAAATATGCACACCATGCAGTCAGCAGGGAATGCTTAGACTAAAGTTCATGGCATCATCATCAATCAAGCATTAGGCATCGAGACTGCTTTAGCAGCTGTTTGAATCTTGAGTCCACACATTTCTGAACAGGTTTATATGCTAGTTTAGTATAGATCAATTTGTACACGATTTATTATAAGTGAATTAGTTCATGAATGTACGCATAAATAACGTTGTTGTGCATTTCAGTGCGCACATTGAAGTTCACGTGCACGCACGTTTTTTGCATCATAAGCATAGGTATTCTGTCTTACAGGGAATTGCTAAGCGCTCAAAGCTAGCGAAATAGGGAAAATAATAAGCGAACTGCTTTCAGACACATATCAACTCTTCCGTATTAACTACAAGCCTTTTTTTTTAAAAAAAATTAGTAAGCAACGTTGGGTCACTTGATATCTCCGGGGAGTTTTTGTACAAATCCGTACTAAAGTTTCAACACTATAACAGGCTGTTGGCATTTCAACTTCAAGCTGAGATTTTGTTTGGTATTCTCGCTCTAAATTTACCAAATTCGACACTAATATGATAATTCCTTTAAAGATTGAGTTTCATGTTAAAAATGTACTGAAGCTCTGTCATCATCAGCTACTTTCAATCAAGACAGGTGTATTTATTTTTGTAATCCTGTGATCTCTTCGCCAAATTGTGAAAGGCGGGGTGTGTTTAGTACCTCAATGACGCTTACTGTGAAGTGTCAAATAGTCTCTTATACCACTGCTCTCACGGGAGTTTACTGCATGATTAACGCTTATCTAAGCAATGCAGTAGAGGACATTGTAATAGACCAGAAAAATATGACTTCTATCCACTTTTTTAATACTAGAGCCAAATTTTTCTTCGACAATTGTGTGCCGAACCACCACCTGTGCCACTGTCAAACTGTAAATGAGGACTTAATGGCGTGTTATTTGCTTAAGCCCAGAATTACTCTTTGTCATTTCTTATAAGTTGTAAGTGCAACCGTCATTGTCAAGTAATCACTACTGCGATCATTTCAATCAAAACTACTGCGCAGCCCGAAATTTCGAACTACCAATGCTTCGGTTGCAACCATCTTTTTGCTTGGCATTAACTTTGCTCAGTTTATAAATGTGCTTGTTTGACTCGGTGGGTTTCTTCTCCGAACATGTACCATTCTACCAAAAAGGCCACATTTCAAGAAGATATATTTCATCCTTCAAAAGATTATTAATGCAACTTTTACTCGGTTCGCTTGCACCCTAAGGCTTCACTTGATCCTGTGTTAGGTTGTATTTAATTAGCTGCAGCTTGTGGTTCTCTTACGGCTATGGTGAGTCACTTAGTCATCGAAGTGTTGTGAAGTTGATAAATAGTTGCATACAAATAACTTTCAGAGCTAATAGCGTCCACCGTTTGGGATGATACGGCTATAACAAAGATGCGCTGTTTGATTGATTGACTGATTGATTGATTGATTGATTGATTGATTGATTGATTGATTGATTGATTGATTGATTGAGTGATTGGTGGAGTTTAACCTCCCAAAACCCCCATATGATTATGAGAGATGCCGTAGGGGAGGGCCCCGGAAATTTCAACCACCTGGGGTTCTTTAACGTGCACCCAAATCTGAGCACACGGGCCTACAACATCTCCGCCTCCATCGGAAATGCAGCAGCCCCAGCCGGGATTTGATCGCGCGACCTGCGGGTCCGCAGCCGAGTACCTTAGCCACTAGACCACCGTGGCGGGGCAACAACGATGCGCTGAAGAATGATAACAGGCTTTGACGTTGAACCACATGGAGGGCTGTAACCAAGCTAACGGAGGATTCTGGAGGCCACGGCGAGCACCGCATGATTTAGTAACCTTTTATGGGGAGGCGTCCAAAAATTTGGCACTAATCCAGCTTCATCGCAACCACGTATGATAAGCCCAACTTCTTCGGTTAATTTCCAGGGGTCTAGAAGAACGTTCCTGTGTGGTTGAGTTACAGTTCTCCTAATGCTAATTGTATTGAAACCATAAATGGAGGATTAAGTTGTTCCAGTTTCCAGGCGTTTACTGTAATAAAAACGCATTGTTTGTAAAACAATCAAGTGCATCCACATCTCCTGTATGGGGTAGACGACATTTTTTTTCAATTATACAAGATGTATTGAACAAAAATATGGAGATGGCTCATTTAGACAGCCATTGCCTCCTTTAAAGACGCACTTGGTCAAACAAAAACATAGGCGCATGGATACTTGAGCCTTTTGCCTAATTTCTAACACGTCTATCACATGCAATTACGTGATAGTTCAAGCACACAAAGGTAACATAACCTAAACATTTCAAAGAAACCATTTCATCTGTTCTTTGGCCCAAATCAGAAATTTACTATAACTTGCCAACCTTTAACGGCGAAGTATCTTAATTCACGAATATCTTCATGGGCAAGCTTTTCCGTCGACATTTATGCTATGCGATACATCTACACCTATACTTATTGCCTCTTAGATTGCTTGTAATATTGCCTTTAAAAAAGCTATATTTAAAGATCCTGTGTGTAAACGACATTGTACATCCTAATTATTGCCAACATCTACAAGTTCAGTCAAAATGTAACTGGCTGGAATGTTTCATCTGTGATCGCGTGTCTTTTTCCAGCAATCTCATGACGATGATTGAGGAAACCAAACAAGAAAA